TCATTTTGGATTTGTAGGAATCCATACTTGGTTCTACTGACAAACCAGATCTGGTTACCACGTAATCCAAGGGTGGATATTTGTCATTTTGGATTTGTAGGAATCCATACTTGGTTCTACTGACAAACCAGATCTGGTTACCACGTAATCCAAGGATGGATATTTGTCATTTTGGATTTGGAATCCATACTTGGTTTTAATAACAAACCAGTGTAAAATCCAGTGAGCACTTCTTGTTTTTCTCAAAATCCAATGACATGTTGGCTTTTGACTTTTCCAATTTTGGATTTACTTGTGAGTTCTCAGATATCCAAAGAAAATCCAGGAAAAAAACAAATTGGTTTTGATAGAGAACTTGGATATCCAAAAATCCAGTTAAAAACCAAGGAAAATCTTGTTTGGTTTTTTGTTATTTTTTCCAGTGATATATATACATTGCAACTTTGTACAGAATTATGATAACATCACTGTCAGTGAATTTCAATTTACTATTCAGAAACATGAATTTAATATTATTATATATTTCCATCATTTTAACTTCACGATGATAGGTAATACATTTTGGTCTATAAATCTTAGCAGCCCATTCTCTTTCTAGTAAATGTATTTTCCTTTTTCTTGCACATAAAATTATTACTTCAGTTTCAACACTGCCTTTGTTGGCAAAATGACAAAGACTAAAGCCTTCATGATTCTGTTTGAAACCAGTTACAACAGGTATATAATACTTGCATCATAATGATACCACTGTGTGGTCAAACCCATTTATAGAACACCAAAATCTCAATATTTGCAGAATTTATCTGAAATTTTCTTWCTATTAATTACAATCTCAACTGCACTGAAATCAGTACATTTGACAATAGGCATATGTTAGCCCATATGTTATGTGCCTTAGGGTTATAGAAAACTAATACACMTTTTCCTACTGAAAAATTCATAGGTTTAGTCACTCTGGTTTAGTAAAGTGAAAAAAATACAAAGCAATTGTGATGGGTTAACACAAATACTACAGTAAATGATACACAATACCTATATTAAGCCATTTACATCTGAACTCAAAAACATTGAGGTTAAAATTGCATATAAAACAAAAGAATTATGCCTGATTGAATTCATTATTAACAAAAAACACAAACACAATTTTAATAGAAAGCCTGATAGAAACCCTAACAATTGTTCATCTAAAACCAATTGAGATAACAATCAAGTGCTAAATACCAATGCTATTTCTAATTCTTTTTGACAKAATTTTTTTTGAATCCAGATAAAATAGAAATCAGCTTGAGAACTTTTATATTGAAAGTTCACGTCAAAGCATTTTGCTGTTGGAAAATTCACATTTTCGAAGCACTAAAAGAAAAACGTACAGCTCTAACGAACTAATCTGTTTACAAGTGCTCGTGGTTTAGCAAACATATGTATCGATTTGTCGTATCGTGATTTTTTGATATTTTTTTGATTAATATCGTTTCGTATACGTTTTGGATCAATGAAGCGATATCGGAATTACAGGAATGTTCCTTTGGATTAAAAGATAATTCCCTGAAACAAACTGCAATTTCCATAACATAGACCCAAATAAAACATTTACCAGAAGATTGAGAAATTCTTCGATCGAAGAATTATAAAGATATAAAATACTATTCGATTCAAATCGGTCATCAGCWTTTACGTCCGTGTTGTGGAGAACGGATGTTCTTTCCCTAGTATAAACTCTAGGGTCTGTTGGAATAACAGACCAAATTAGACCAAATCTAGAGCCTAAATCCACAATATTTGCTGAAGAAATACAATGCATGAGTCGGTGTATTCGAAATATTTGAGGTATCCTTGAGTAATAGTGAAATATAATGCGACATTGGTGTGTTGACCGCGAAAGTGTCACTTCAAAAAGTATGTAAACATGCGAGAATAGTGACTTCTTTCAGTATGTGAGAGGTAGAAATACTTTATTTTTGAACACCTACCACTTCCGTAGACATTCAAGCGCCCATTCAATCAGACAACCATTTAATTCTTCATTTCTAACGCACGTAGGTGTAACTCGGTGTGGTAAAAGTAGGCTCTCATCACTCGGGGTCGGGTACTGAGTCGTGAATTCTTTCAAGAAAATTGCCGTCGTTTGACACTCTTCTTGGGTAAAATCGACACTCATGTCGCATTCTAATAATGTTAACTACTTTTATCTTTTAAACAACCGAAATAAGCCTTCATCGATGTGGCCAATTACCCTTCTTTTGGACCAATCTCTCTAAAATGCACTTTTGACGACAAGATGGTAATGTACACGTGAGATCGCATGGAATGCTGGGTCACGCTTTATGTAACGTATGTTCATTGAAGTGTCACGAAATCACGAAATATATGTCCCACTGCGCACTCAGTCAAATTTTTCCACTCGGCATGACATTTCTTATTTACTGTAATGATCTCGTGCAGGACGTTAGCTGTTTGTACTTCTTTCATGGTCCTTGATGGTCAATATTTGCAGTCATTTTGGGGCTACATTTTGACATTTTGAATTTTCTTAAATAAAGAAGCGAATAGCCTCCTTATGAAATTTCACCATATATATTCTATAAAAATTGTGCAAAAACTGAGCGTGAACAATTAAAATTCAAGTTCTTTGGGGATTTATTGATAATATCGTTGAACGTGAGTGAGGAAAAAATTGATAACGCCCCCCCCCCCCCCCCCCCCCCCCCAAACAAATTTACGCTCCGCGGTCCTTGCAACATGATAAACTTCTGGGGGAAGTCGTTTCAGCGGGAGGGTCGTAACCTGGAAGAAATCCTTAATAAAGCATAATTTCTGTAATTTGATTGTGCTTCCCTCAAGAAAAGCTCAAAAGCCYTGTGATTATTTTTAGACTGACTTAAGTGGAGATTTTTCAATATAATTTTGCATTGCAAAATCTTCCAGCSCCCTTCCCCACTGAAAGTTCTAATGAATCGCCCCTTAAGTATCTAGCACTGTCTTCCAACGACGACAATACAAAGCGTTGGCGAATTTTAAGGGCGTCACAAAAAAATTAGATGGACTGCAGAAAATGAAATTTCTTTCAGAAGAACGCGAAGTTCTTACATATGTAGGGTTGCATTTGCATTTGTTCTGATTCAATTATTCCTTTCAAGTAGATCTCCATGGGCCTGTTCGCTTTTGCCTATGTTCTTGTTTGCAGTCAACATCAGATTATTAAAGTGTATCCTTGTCCAACTGAACAAAATCTACTTATGTCAATAAAYTTAGAGTTCAAAATGATAAACTAAACTCCACCAATTAGATTAGACTACAATAAAAAATGGCCGCCGGCAAATCGTGGCACACTTTTCTTGAGAATTTTTTCCACTATAAGTATTTGTCCAAAAAGCACAGAATCTGACACCGTTGATTTTTTTCTGTTTCCAATTTAGTTCTAGTTAACCATTGTTTAGACGTTGCCCCCCTCTTTAAGCACATAAAATTAGATTTTGCCCCTCTGGATTCTCAACCACCTCTCCCTCCTGATAAATATTGCGCAATCCCTAAGGTATGGTTCAGACGTCGTTCTTTTATTTGTCGCGTTTAGTCTCATACTGCGGGTTACTCAATGTAAGAGCATTTCTTGATGTATATGTTTTGGCGTGAACTACCAGTGAGACCGACGTCCGCGTCTTTACTATCTACTAATTGCTACTAATCTTTACTATTTTCAGCGGTCTCTCCCATACACTATAAAAGGGAGATAAGAGAATACAATCGAGGCCATTTCTCGAGAAGTGCCGAGCAGTTAAGTTATATCATGGCGGATGAGCAGGTTCCACAAGTTCCACAAGTTCCACAGGTTCCACAAATTCCCCAGGTTCCTCAAGTACCTCAAGCTCAAGTTCAACCTGGACAGGCCGAGGATGCGGAACCGGCTGTTTTACCTCAGCCTGCAGACCAGCAAGACGAGTTACAGGGGACGTCAACTCTCCCTCCCGGATTTGCCGGGAGACTCCCGGATTCAGATCGAATCTCCCGGTCTCAAGATTTTAGCCCTAAATCTCCCGGATACGCACGATATTTTCATAGAATGATATTAATTACTAACCATCATTGTAGATTTTTATTTTCACAGAAGACCTTCAATGAATTATATCATGTTTCCTCGATCTTTCGATACGGAACGAAATACCTACAGGCRTTGCTTACGTATACTMGCGCATGAAAAATRTATAAACTGATTATGCAACGTTATTTGTGACGTCATTCACATGGTGTGACGTCATACACATAATCGAGGCAATTTCTCCAGATATATAAAGCTCTGAGGTTGACATCCCTGGAGTTAAACCTTGAGGTTTGTGAATTTTCGTTTATCCTGTCGTTTCCCTGTACTATGTCGTTTACTTATGTCGCCTTCAGTATTCTTGTGTATACCGCGTCCACGGCCGGGTACTTGCACTGTTTATTTAAAATAAGACGGTTTATTTGGTTTTTATCGTTGCTTTTACTTAGGTCGTTAGGCTGTTTATATTATTTAAGTCGTCCCTTATTTGCTTTGACATGTTGTACCATGTGCTCGTCAACCCTGTTCAATAAGCTTAGCTAACCCTTCAGCCTGCTGCGGGTTTCTTTCGCTTTTGGCTTAATAGTATTTGGCTCCCCTTGTCTCTTTCTCGTTCAATTTTTTATTTCAAACTTTTCCCCTCGTGGCGTATTCGCGTTGTACTACATTTTCCCGTGTTTGGACCTTTGAATACCAACCCCCCTTCCAATGTGTCGTAATTTGCGGGTATTGTCATATGTTGCCCTGTTATGGAATTTACTGCCTTGGTTATATTCGCCGTTACAAATAGTTCTAGTACTGATATTTAAATTGCCTTGCTATTGAACGTACTGCCTTTGGCTTTGCAGGCACTGTTATTTATATTATTTGTATGGATGAAATAATTACATTGATTTTGCCTTGCTGTCGAGAACGTACTGCCTTATGGCTTTGCAGGCATTGTATTTCTATTGTATACATGTATGATGGCTGAATATTATTACATGAATTTTGCCTTGCTATTGAACGATTTGGCTCAGGGGATGGTGAACAACGCCCATATCACGCCAGAATTCATATCATCTGCTGTCAATGGCCGTCAACTGGCTGATGTATCCCAATTGTCGTTCCGGGACCCAGGTTGTTTTCTAGCCGGAGGGTTGCATCGTTGCAAAGACGCCTGGGAGAATCTGTTTGATTATGCGAATGGSAATTTCCGCGAAGTAAAGGATTGGCTTGATAACTTTGTTGATTTGGAGAATTTCTTGACCCATTTTAAAGGGAGCTACAAAGGTATTAACTATGACTGCGACAGACCCCCATCACGTTACTTTCCAAATCATGTATCGTGCAAGCCTTTTGTGTCGTATATTTCTAAGACRATATTAAGCAGACTAGCTTCGGGAGCCATCGCGGTGTGGGGGAAAGTAGGCAAGTGCCAACCGCCGCATCTTGTTATGCCTTTGAYTGTTGAGCCGACTAAGCCACGTTTATGTAATGACAACAGGTTTWTGRACCTGTGGACCAAAGATCGACCGTTCTCATTGGACTCTGTTTTKCATCTTCCAAAGTACGTCCATAARAACTCGTACCAAACGGTATGTGATGACAAATCTGGCTACGACCATATTCTGCTGTCTCCCAACAGCCGCACCTACTTTGGTTTCCAATGGGGAGGTTGGTTGTTTGTTAGTTGTACCATTCCGTTTGGTTGGAAGTCTTCYGCTTTCATCTATCATACGACTGGGCTTGTTGCGTCGCACTACCTCCGATCTTTGGGTATCCCATCATCCCTTTACATAGACGATCGCCATACTGGTCAGCTTTCTCTGTCCAAAGATACCCGGTCACCCGTCTATGAGGCTCTGCAGTCTGAAGATCTCTTGAATTTGGCGTTGGCGAAAGTGGCTATTTTTATTACATGCTGCCTTGTTTCCCTTGGTTACTTTCTTGGTTTGGAGAAGTCTGGTTGAGAGTAAGAAAGAGAAATTCCTCGCCCTCCTTAGGCAGGCTCTTGCCTGTGGTTCCCTAGACTTGCTCACTCTGCAAAAGCTAGGCGGAAAGTGTATGTCATTGGCTCTAGCTGTTCCTGGAACGCGCATRTACACTAATGAGATATATCTGGCCATATCACGTGCCATGCGCTCCACACGACCTGTCCAAGTAAGCCGAGGTCTTCGAGCAGAGTTGGAGCATTGGCTCTTTCTGGATACCTGGGACGGTTTCCTGCCATGGAGGTCGGATAAACATTGCCATATAAAGCTATACACCGACTCGTCTGCGTTTGCCTGGGGAGGCGTGTTGAGTCCGGGTGTTATCCAAGCAAATGTCTGTGATTATTGGGGCCCAAAGGTGTTAGGCCTTGACATTGCCACAAAGGAAACGCTCGCTCTCAATAATGTGTTGCAGTCCTTTCAGGGAAAGATTCGAAACTCCTGGGTAGATGCTTATGTTGACAGCCAAACCCTGCTTCGCTGCTGGGAAAGGCAGGGATCCCGATCTCCAGYGTTAATTGMAGCCCTTAAAAGTGTTTTCCAGACATGTGTCAGTTYGAACATCGACCTTCGCCTCCACTATRTTCCTGGCCCTGAGAATCCGGCAGATGCGCYGTCCCGCAACATCAGTCTCCAGGAYTMCATGCTTAGTTSTCGCCTTTGGCGCCTGGTCCAAGCATTCTATGGAGGAGCAAACGGGCATTCTGTCGATCTGATGGCTCGGCGATCTAATGTCCAGCCAGATAATCAGGGTGAGCCACTCCCCTTCTTCTCAGAGAAACCCATGGTCGGTGCTCTAGGAGCCAATATGTTTGCCCAATCGCCGGAACTTCATAAACCCGGATTGTTTGAAAATCCGTATGTCTTCCCACCCATCTGCTTAATTGCGCACGTCTTTAAGTACCTTGAAGACCTCCGGTTACCCTATACCATGGTAGTCCCGGATGTTTGTCCTCGTCGTTTTTGGTGGCCGTTGCTTGCTAATTCTTGTTCTGAGTGCCGACTCCTTGCCGCTAAAGGGACAGTGGGTGCGCTCCTGACACCATCAAAGCATGGCTTCTCGGAAGATTGGCCGATASCATGGGACTTATACGTATTTCGTATCTCCAGACAGTAATTGATATTACCAGTACTTACTTTTAATATATAATATGCTAATGCAGACATGAATTTTAAGTGTAGGCTAATGTTCTAAACCTGATAAAAGTTATTTCCATCAAATTTGTATGAATTGTTGACAATCGCGTTTCCCCTGCTGAACCCCGCCGCGCGCACGCCTTTTGTGACAATATACATATATACAATATATACAATATATACAATTCTTCTCGTTATTCTGCCTAAATTACTATATTGACCTGTATTTTAGGGCCTACCACCCGCGAAACGGCTATTCGTACCAGCTGTAGCATGTCCTTCTTGCAACTACGCCAATGACTACGTGTTTCGATTTTGTCAGATGTGTGGGTATAACCGAAAATATCAACCCCAGTCYTCGAACACAACAGCAGAAGTCAATATTGAGTCGATTGATGAGCGGCTGTTGCAGCTACGGGAATCCGTTCAGAATTCCTCATACTCAAAGCAGAAGTCTTCTCTTAGACTTGAGTTTGAAACATTTCTGCGCTCGCTAMCTCGCCGCAAATGTATTTTTTCAGCAGCGCCAGAGGATGTTGCCCGCTTCCTGGTATGGAAGGATCCTTCTGGCAAAAAGGCCGTCCATGTCRATAGCTGCCCRAATATCGCTTCCCAAAAGGTTACAACATGTGCCTGTCCAAGACGTCTAGCATTTAAGACAGTGGATTCTTATGTAGGGAAGCTTCGCGCCATTTTCAATGAAGCAGGTCGAACAGGCGATTGGAACGGAATGCTGGGCTTTGGAAACCCGGCCGCGTCTCCCGAAGTTCAGCAATACCTCAAAGCTGTGACTGAAGAACAACTACGTGCCCATATGAGGCCAAAACAGGCAACCCCGCTTTTTCTCTCAAAACTGCTGCTTCTTGCTAGGCTATGGGACAGGAAGCTTGCCAATGCGTCAACCCAGCCTGTAAACCATTTCACGTTAGCTCGCGACCAAGCCTTTTTCAAAGCACTCTTTTTTAGCTTCGACAGGGGATCAGAACTTGGTTCGGTAAGGACTTCGGAAATTTTACGTTTCCCCCGAGATGATGGTCTACTCTTCAATCACGTTTGGGGTAAGACCCTAAGGGACGGCACATCTAATGTTTTTGGTATCCGTAGRCATGCCAACCCGCAGATCTGCCCTGTGCGAGCAATAGAAACGTATGTTGCTACTGCTGCTGAGTTGCGCATCGATCTGTCTGATGGCTACCTGTTTAGGCCAACAAATCATCAAGGCCATATTGTTAATAAAGCGTTCCTTAGTTCAACGGCAGAAGGGCGTCTTAAAACCTACCTAAAAGAGGCTAACATAGATGAGGGAGAAACCCTGCACAGTTTCCGTGCGGGGTMGGCCATAACATTGGCGCTGTCGGGAGCGCAATTGGCAGATGTAATGGCTCACGTTGGTTGGAGCAATAAGGGAACCGCTTTGTATTACATGAAGCTCGCCGATGTGCTTCGGGCGGGTAGCCCTTCGGACCTATTGGCATCAGCAGACGGTTCTCCATCATCCTCCACTGACGTCTACTCCGATCTCAATCATTTAAAGGGTTTTGTCGTGGCATTCCCGTAGGCGAYGCCTTRTRTATGTTGCATCATCAATTAAAATCTTGTAAATCGTTTGTTTGAGCGTGTTAGTCTGGGAGTTTAGAATGGGCTTTGGGCGTCAGCTCTATTTTGAGTTTGGGCATACCGGGCAGGTGTTCTCTGGTTCCGTTTTCGTCAAGGGTTCTGGAATTCATTAACTAGAGACTGTCGGGCCCAATCTCAATAATAGTGATGAGAGAGGACGCTGAAAATAGATCACTATTTTCAACGGTCTCTCCCATACACTATAAAAGGGAGATAAGAGAATACAATCGAGGCCATTTCTCGAGAAGTGCACTGCTGTTTAGGGTATCATTGCTGCTTATGCCTCCTCTCTCGTGCTATAAACAGTATAGTCTCGCCTCGCCAATCCCTATACTTACCCTCCCTCCCTCCCTAGCATTTTGTAGTCTCAAGACTTCAAAAACAAGGCGAGACTGTCGTGCCCAATCTCAATAATAGTGATGAGAGAGGACGCTGAAAATAGATCACTTTTTTAATTCATATCTCTTTCAAGGCATCTGCCAAAACAGTTATTTTCAAAATACCAGTTCAAAGACCGCGCAAATGTAATTTATGTCTCT